GAGAGAGAGAGAGAGAGAGAGAGAGAGAGAGGAGAGAGAGAGGAGGGAGAGGGAGGGAGGGAGGGAGAGAGACTGGGAGAGGGACGTAGAGCCTCAGCGACCTTTCGATCCATCAGTTTGTTCGCTTCACCCCATGCATCACAACAACTCACCTCTCCTACATATAGTTTTCTATCTTTGAAACTTCCGCCACTGCCTTGTGCGGTACTACTGGCATTTATGTATGTAATGTATGTATGTACGTATGTGAGTATGTGTGTGTCCTTCTTATACATATTATATATATATATCTGTTTTTTTTACAGTTTAGATTTCTTGCGCTTGGGGTATTTCTCTATTTTGCAAAGTGCTCCCTTTGTGCTCTCAGTGCCCTAGTGTAGCTCTGGCGTTGTGCTGGTCTCTCGGATGCTAGGCTTGGGGCACCTCCAGAAGCGGCGATTGCCAAGTACATCGAGGCACGCAGCACGAGGAAATGGATTGTTTGATCAATTTTGGTCATCTTTGGTGTTTGTTCCTTCCAAGAGGTGTCTCAAGGTACCTTGAGTGACCATGTTAGGGGTCAAACTAGTATCCCAACACACTCAAGCCAACTCAGAAGCACACCGGCTTTGTTTTGGACCAGATACATGGCACCATAGCTGTACCAGGTTGCACAAGCCCATCGCTGCAATACCGACATCATTCTATGAAAGTGTACCGTTACAACCGCAGGTCTTCTCTGCAAGTTTCCAATGTTTTGTTTGCTAACCAGCAAGCATAGCCAGCTGTAGTTTGGGCTTAGCAGCAGTATTAGAGCCCAATCCCTGCAGGAAAATGACCTTGATGTTCTCAACTCAACTCAGCTTTGCACTTGAAGATTTTCAATGTTGAAGCATATTTAGACTGTACTCCCACAAGGGCTGTGTGTGGAATGCTCAGGACAGCGCAGCCAGGTCTCTTCGAGCTTTGCTGCCGCACAACCAGGCCTTTGCAGCAAATTCTTTGTAAAATGAACGTGATGCCTCCGTCAGAAGCCAGAGGCAGTTGCCATCCACTGGGACTTATCGCCCTACAAGAACCGTTCCGCAAAATTCATGTGCCTGTCTTGAAGCCAGGAAGCTTTTCTTGATTCTCCATGATTCTCCATTGTTTTCCTTATGCTTGTGAGATCTCATGACTGCGAGATGCATGCTTTGCTGCACAATGCCCATATTGATCTCACAAGGTCGATGGCCGCTGCGCTTGGAAATGCCCCGCCTTTTCCAATGCCAGTGCCGCCAATGCATCTTGGCCGAGTTTCCACAGGGGTGATGTTCAATGTCATCAGCAATCAGTTGCAGAACAAATACATAGTTGAAACACACACACAAACAAAACAAACAAAGAAACGCATAAAGAAGACACAAGAAGAAACAAGAGGAAACAAGAAGAACCAAGAAGAACCAAGGAGAGCCATGAAGAAATAAAAAACAAGGAAACACGGAAAACAAGAAAAACAAGTAAACACAAGAAAAAGCAAGAATAAGCAAGAAAACACAAGAAAAACAAGAAACTACAAGAAACTATAAGAAACAACAAGAAAAAAACAAGAATAAACAAGAAACATCACAAGATCTTCTCACACTACCCTCCACAAGACCTTGGCCAAGACCCTCAAGAAAATTCCCACAAGATGGTCAAAGAACGACCTTCCACTGAAATCATAAAGTCTCTTTCCCGGGATCTTGGAGAATCAGCTAAAATGAGCACCGCGCCTCCAAGAGCGGGATCCGACATGCGGAAAAGCCGAGAGGGTTGCGCGAGCGATATCAAAATCTGCAATGCGCCACAACGAGAGCGATCCAACGCGCGCAAAGTTACAAGAAGCTTGCGAGAGCACATATTGAAATTTCACAAAGTTTCGCGCGCGTCAAGAGAAGTGAAAGTCGAAAATGTGAAAGTACCTCGGTTTCAGCCGCTTTCTCGTCGAGGTTTCTGAAGTATTGTGCTTGCCACGAAACTTGACCTGAGGCATCCGAAGTATCGCACCTGCCACGCAAAGTGATCATGATGTAACTGTACCAAGTCAAAAATGACGACAGTTTCACAAAAAAATGTTTAAGCCTGTCAAGACATCGTCCAAGTTCACCAAATATTGCGTCCGCCAAAAATTATAGGACCGGATAACCGCACATGTTACCAACTTCTCTAGACTTAGACTGAGCATAGAAAAGCAAGAAGGGAAGAGGAAGTATAAGAGTGATGGAGGGCTGATGGTGGGTGAGTTTGTGTGTGTGTATGTATGTGCATGCACAGGTGAGTGAATGAGAATGTGAGTGAGTGAGTGAGTGGTGGGTGGGTGGGTGAGTGAGTGATTGAGTGACTGAGTGAGTGAGTGAGTGAGTGAGTGAGTGTGTGAGTCAGTGATGTGAGTGTGGTGTGTGTGTGAGTGAGAGTGAGAGTGTCAGTGAGTGAGTGAGTTTATAAGTGAGTGAGTGAGGGAGAGTGAGTGAGTGAGAGTGAGCGAATGAGGGAGTGTGAG